GCGGCCGGTCTCAAAAAAGGAAAAAAAAAAAAAAAAAAAAAGAAAGGCCAACCAGCAGGAAATGGCCTCTGTCTCACTTCCACCTTCCCAGCAATCCCACATGAGTATACCTGATGGAAGGACTCTGATTCATATTCAGAATTCTAGTTCTGAGGGACGCTGGGGGATGCACTGTTTAGCTCACAAGCTTGTGCAACAGGCAGCCCACTAAGAAGTGGGGCAGGAGGCTTGGTGTCCAACTGATGTCACCAGCACGGGACCTTTCATCTTTAAAGAAAAGCATATCTGTATGCATGGGTTTATGCTTTCCATTACTTTCTGCTTCTTTAGTCTTTTATTCCCTTCCCTAAATAAATAGTCTAGCAGAGGCTATAGGTAGTCCTACTGTGCCAGTGTGCTGGCTGTGCTTTCTCTCATCTGTGTGTGGTTTATTTATTTATTTACTAATATTTTTTTTTTCTTAAAGATGACTGGTAAGGGGATCTTAACCCTTGACTTGGCGTTGTCAGCACCACACTCTCCCAAGTGAGCAAACCAGCCATCCCTATACAGGGATCCAAACCCATGGCCTTGGTGTTATCAGCACCACACTCTCCCAAGTGAGCAAACCAGCCATCCCTATACAGGGATCCAAACCCATGGCCTTGGTGTTATCAGCACCACACTCTCCCAAGTGAGCAAACCAGCCATCCCTATACAGGGATCCAAACCCATGGCCTTGGTGTTATCAGCACCACACTCTCCCAAGTGAGCAAACCAGCCATCCCTATACAGGGATCCAAACCCATGGCCTTGGTGTTATCAGCACCACACTCTCCCAAGTGAGCAAACCAGCCATCCCTATACAGGGATCCAAACCCATGGCCTTGGTGTTATCAGCACCACACTCTCCCAAGTGAGCCACTGGCCGGCCCTTGTTATTAGTATTTTTTTTTATTGAAACATAATTGATGGTACATATCTGTGGGGTACTGCTTTGCCTACCAATACGTGTGTGCAAGACGTGATGCTCAAATCAGGATAATTAGTATCAAGACGGACTTTGTGGTACTCGATGGCTCACACCTGGAAATGTGTGTCGTCAGGCAGACACTTCAGTCTGTAAGGACATTTATTTATTTATTTTGGTTTTTCTGAAAAGTTCATACAATTTATTTTATTTTATTTATCTTATTTTTTGTATGGGTTATGAATATTCATGGGGTACAAAGCTGGCTGTCACTACTCGTTCCCAAGATGTGATGGCCAGATCCACACTGGCAGCATGCCCATGACCACAAATTGCCATTATATCCCGTGTCCCCCACCCAATTATCCCCGACCACCCTCCCCATCCTTCCCCCCACTCCACTTTGTATCCCTAGGTATGATTTCTCCCTCTACTTAAATGAGGCTTTTATTTAGATTTGCAAACCGGGAGACCATCCCTCCATGTGAGAAATCAGTCTGCCCCACAAGCAGAAAAGGCGAGGAGGATTTTTAGTGTAAGTTCAGGAAAGTCTAGGTAGTAAGCAAATTCCAAACTTTGTGCAAAGACCAAATGGATAATTGACGATGGCCTATTGAATAATGGTTTTTTAGGCCTCTTAGGATATTCATGGCTACTCCAATCTAGACTACTCAATTGGTAAGTAATTCCCATTTGGTTTAAAATACAAGACTTTAACAACCATCCGTTTTCCCAGGATTTCTCTAAACAGTGTCATCTACGTTTGTCTGGGTATCTTGGTAATAATAAATTCCCTGCAAAGTTTGTTTGTCAAGTAATAAATTCTAATGGAAGTTCAGCTTCTTGGGCTAGAAGGGAACCAGTCAATTAAGTTAAAAAAAAAAATGGAGTCCCTGTGGTTCTTTTTTCTTTTATTCTCCTCTCCTGGCCCTTTTCTTCATCAGTGTAAATTTGCAGCGTGAACCTGCACTCTGTAATTTTTTTCAGATTCCTGTCCATCATGACTGCTGTCCGACTACGAGAATTTATCGAGCGCCGCCCAGTGATCCCACCCAGGTAAGGTTCTTGCAGATCCAGAGCCTCCCGGAGTGGAAGCAGAGCAAGCATGCACCTGGAGATTAGAATTTTCTCCCTGCTGCTCCGTGATTGAGAGGCAACTGCTGCCAGAGGTTCTGGTGAAGCTTCTTGGAGCTTAGGGAAAGTTGTAAAAAGAGAAATCTCACCCTCATCGCAGAATCCAAGCAAACAGGCAACTCCAAATTCCCACAAGAATATGGAATTTTGCTTGGAAAGGGCTTTAGCAAGAAGTATGAGGGGCCCAAGCTCAAATTTAGGATGGAGCCCCTTTGCTTGGCTTGGGGTAAAACTAACCATTCCCATGCTTTTGCAGTATGGGAGCTGAGCACACAGAAACTAAGGAGGAGTTTCCTTCATTTTTCCAAGTTCACCTATAGCATGAGAATAACAAGCCCTAGACATGTTCGATTGTGCTAAATTTGTCTTGCTGAGTGATATCCGATAACAAGCTATAAATCCTGACCCCCTCTCCCATCACCACCTGCTATGGGGTCTGCAGAGATTCAGAAGCTCTGCACCTGGGGCAGGGACTCTCACACTGTGATTTTGGGGTCAGCCTCTTGCAGCCCCATTGGCTTTGTGGATTTGAGCAAGCCTCATGTTTATTTCAGTCTTTAGTTATTTTAACAATGCTGGTCCTTTTTGCTCAGAAATTACTGCAGGAGGGGTGAGTCAAAGAATGCTTCCTTCCCAGGTACCTTCAGAATCCTCTTGTCAGAGGAAGTACACAGACACCCCTCCCTCCTTGAAATCCACAGGAGGAGGAGGCAAGTGGGGACAGGAATGGGGATTGGTTCCATTATTTCCTGATTCCTCCCTGCCCACAAACCCTTGGGCTTTCTGTGTGTGTTTGAAATCTCTTTTGTCTGCTGTGGGGCCTAATTAACTGTGATCTCATCTCCTGGGAAAAATGGAAACAAATCTCCCTTGGCTGCTTCCCGCCTGGTGCTCCTTGGAACGAAATCAGCCACCGGGCCTGGTCTGAGTCAGGGGTCTGGATGGAACAAGTCACAGCAGGCTCAGGGGTCCCCTGGAGACCTCAGGCTGGGCTGTCTTCTTTGGAGCAGCAGGTGGGCAGATACACTGCAGTAGCCCCAGCACCTGAGCTAGTCCTAGCAGCCCACCCTCCACCTGCAGTGCTCGCAGTGGGGCAACTCTTTGCCTAACTTATGCCAACAATAGTGGGTCTGATCCACCAGCAAGTCCAATGCATTTTCCCTCCAGGACTGATCTCCCATGGGAAGGGTTCCCTCGGGCTCCCTACCACCACTTGATCCAGATCACCACTGCCTACCTCCAGCTCACCTCCACTCTTGTCCTCCGACAACTCATTCTCCAGAGTGAGCTTTGTAAAATGTAAATTGGATCTCAGCCCTCCATTGCATAAAACTCTTCAACCCACTGCATTTAGCCTAAAATCCAAACTCACTGTGGCCTACAAAGCCCCACATGAACTACCCCTGCCTAGCTCTTTGCCCTTCCCAGTCCTCTCATCCTTCCTTGGTTCCTTCAGGAGGCCATGTGCTCTTCCTCCGACCTGGACTGCTACCTTCCCCCACCACTCCAGCCCCGTCACCCAGCACATCCCAGCTCTGTTGTCAACTGCTCAGAGAGCCATTCCTTGACCTCCTGGCTAGAGGAGGGCTTCGCCTTCTGCCTACCTCTGCACCTCTGTGATCCCCTACCTCACACCCTTTTTCATTTCCTTTCTATCCTTATCACAATTTACAATGATCTTCCTTCTTTATTTCCTGTCTGTCTCACCTACTGGAGTGATAATAGTGAAGACTTAAGTAGCCCTTACGGTATGCCAAGCACATCTGTGAGTTCCACTTGGGGAGTCTGAGGCACCATGTGGGTGAGTGACTGTCCCAAGATCCCACAACTAGGAATTGGCAGAGGTGGGACTTGAACCCCTGTCTGGCTCTAGCATCTGTGCTGGTGGTTGCTGTTGATGGCTGCATCTCCAGGCTCGGCCCCGTGTGGCAGGCTTGCTTGCCTTTCTCTGCAACTCGCTATCATAATCTCTGCCTCCCACTGCTACACATAGTAGTTCCTCCAAGCACAGCTGTCAAATATATTAAAATCAATGAATGAGCATTTATTTGTGGTTTGGCCTCCTGGTGACTGACAGTACCTGGGCCTGCCCTTCTGCTGCTCTGCATAGCGTTTATCCATTTCGTCCAGAGATGCCTAACCCTTAGGGCCATACCAGGGAAAAGTGAATTACAAACCAGTAGAGGCACCTAATAAAAGTAAATATTAAATGGCTCACAGGTAGTAGTGACCACATAAAATTCTCATAATAAGAATTATATGAGATGCAAGTGACTGGAGGAGACCTGTCACTCAGGGGCAGGGCTGAGTGCTGCTCTGGCTTCTGGAGCCTAGGATGCTCCTGAAAAGATCACTTTAAGGAGATTAAATTCAGTGTGTTATGGAAAAGAAAAGACATAGAATTTGTGTCAGATTTAAATGAAGTTTAAAAACATTGATGGGAGCAGTCTCTGAACGATCCAGAGGCAGCTTTGGGGTCAACCCAATTCTGCCTAGAATAATAGCAACACCTAATGCAGACGGGATATTTTAGTCACCAAGTCCAAATGTCTCATTTATTCTCATGTAATCATGGATGGAGATGATAGTTATCATTCCCATTTTACTGATGAGAAAACTGAGGCTCTCTCCTTCCTTGAGGAGATATGCTGGAGCCAGCAGAGCCTGGGAGATGAGAGCATGGGCTGGTGGTCTCCCAGCCCTGCCTTTAATCCCATCTTCTGCATTTATTAGCTTGTGTCCTTAGTTAAGTCACACATTCCCCCAAGCCTCAGTTCCCTAAAAGGTATAGCAGTCCCCATACTGTCTAAATTGCCTGAATATGGCTTTCCTTACCAGATTATGAACTCATCACTGAGTCTCTAGCACCTAGAGCACTGCAGACACATAAGAGCTTGCAATAAGTACTTTTTTATTGAATTGAAAGCATCTTCCAGCTAACATTGCAGTGTCTTTACTGTTTTTCCCGTACTTTTGATACACAATGTCTACATGCTATCTGCTCATAAGTGGAAGAATTACAGAGCTCATACAAAAATAGTGTTCAATTCTTTTGCGGGGGAAAAATCTTTGTACACACAAATAGATGATTGATGTGTGGCGGAGTTTAGAGAACTGGGCTTGACTCTTAGCCGTGGCATTTACCAGCCAGGTGGTATTTAGAAAGTCCCCTTAACCTCTTTGGGCCTCAGTCTACTCTTATAAAACAGGGAGTTAATATTGACCTTGCAAGGTGACTGTGAGAATGAAATGAGATTGCCTCTGTAAAAATGCCTTGTAAAGCATGCAGCACAGTACAGACATAACAGAAACAGCAGCCATAGTAACACAGGCTACCTGGGGCTGTGGGTCTGGCTCTGGAGGGATGAACACCCCTCACCTCTCCTATACCTATTCAGTTTTGTCTGAAGCTAAGCCCAGATCCGGCTACAGTCACCGGATCCTGTTACAGTCACCCTCCCAAGGGACAGCTCTGCTCTTTGGTGGATTGAACACATCAAACTCAAAGAGCCAAGCTCTCGGAGACTTATAAATAATGCACCTTGGAACCAGATGCAGCTGGACTGCTGCTCCCACTCAACAAGAAGTCAGGGCTTCCTATAGCTGATTCAAGAATCTTGAAAGCCAAGTCAACAGAATCGGCCTGAGCAGAGCCCTGGGCAGGGCTCGCAAGTCTGGAGAGTGGACACATGCTTTCATTGTCATCCTTTTACCTTACACCCAAACTCCCAAGGGAGAGGCTGGGTCCTGCACAGCCTCTAGCCAGGCTAGGCATTTCCCCTTAGGAGGTAAAAATTGCCTTCTAAAAAACTGATATTTTAATCTCTGGATGAAGAGCTTTCTCATGTTTGAGGTGAAAGCTACATGGGGGAGCTTGGAAAGATTACCCAAAGAGGGAGGCAGAGTTTTCCATCCCTTCATTCCCCAAGCCTTGCTAATTCTGCACCAGCCCACCCTCCCTCCAACACCCACCTCCTCTCTCACACCCTCCCCTCTCTCACTCCTGCTGAAACCTGCCTGGAGACATTCCCCAGGGACTGCAGGCAAGGAGTGTTCCCTGGTGCTGGTGAAGGGTTTGTTTCCTCATTCTCCAAACAGCTCTTACAGACTGCTTCCAAGGAGCAGTGCTTAGTTTACCCACCTGTATTCAGCAGGTATTTGTTGAATGCATGCCAGCAAAAGAATCTAGGGTCAAGACACAGCCAACTGCAAAGAGTGTTGCAACTGTGGGAAACCAGAGTGTCACGGTGGAGCTCCAGTGGGTTCTTCACACGGTCCTAGTGTAATCTCTCCAATGTAGTGCTTTGAAACTGGATGGGTGCCTAAGAAAGCTATATCTCCCACTCCCATGCACTCAGAAATATCATTTGTTCCCTTTAGTGTGCCAATTCCTCTCTCTTCTTATGACCTAATCCCTGCTGTTATTTACTAGTCATATTATCCCAGCCACAGGGCAGGTCCAGACAGCCTGTGGTTTTTCTGAAAATCAGAGTTCCCAGAGGTCCTGTTTGCACAGACAGAGACAGGACCCACCCTGCTCAGCCCTTACCTTTTATGCAAGTTAGACTGCCAGCCCATGCTGGCCACTGCACGCTCCACTCTGAACCCGACGCTGTCCCTGTCTTGGCTTCTATAACTTCCCCGTCCTGTTGCCAAATTCTAAACACCACTCCCGCTTCTGTTTCCCACTGATCCTTTATTCAGATCCCTATTTCAGCATGTAAAGAGTATTTTGAGGACAAGAACTGCTTCTTAGTCAGCTTTGAATCTGAGGAAGCTAGGAAAGTGCAGTAAGTGTCAGTTGAATTGAAGGCGTAATCAACACATATTTAGTGAGCTACTTTATGCAAAACTCCGTGCTACTTTCTACGAACTCTCCCCCTTTTCTGTGAATTTTTATGGCATCTACTGAGTGCTTAGAATCTGTGGAAGATCCAAAAGGTCACCAAATATTCAGGCAGTACTACCTCTATAAAGTCATCTTTCCAACAATGGTCACCTGCCTGTGTCCCCTCTTCTGGAGAACAGCAGCATTCTTCCCAATGCCTGCAGCCTAGGCTTTGTCTGGGACACTTTCCTCTCTTATGCTCTCAATCCTATCTCCTAAAATATCCTCAAATAGTCCTCTCCTCTCCATATACATTTCCACCATATAGTTCAGAGCTTCACGTCCCACATAAATCACTACAATTTATTCCTAACCAGTCTTTCTACTTCTACTCAGATTGTCCTTAAATTTGTTTTCCACATTGCCATCAGAGAAAATCTTTGTATAGCATGTGATTAATCGCAAAACTCTTGTAAAGATCCCGTCACCTACCTCAGTGGTTCTCAAACTTTCACACACAACACCCTCCTTTTTAATAACAAGTATTTTGCAATGTCTCCACTCCTCTTCCGAAATAAAATCTGTAAATAACATAATCCAACCACAATTCATTTTAACATACTAATATGGTGTTGTAACTGTAATGTAAAAGGGAAAAAATAATTTATTTTAAAATAAGATGTACTTGGGCCGAGCCCGTGGCGCACTCAGGAGAGTGCGGCACTGGGGCAGCAGCGCTCCCGCCGCGGATCCGATATAGGGATGGCTGCGGCGCTCACTGGCTGAGCGCGGTGCGGCCGATCTCACAAAAAGACAAAAATAAATAAATAAATAAATAAATAAATAAATAAATAAATAAATAAATAAATAAATAAATAAATAAAATGAGATGTACTTCGAAATGTAAAGTCCGGGCCGGCTCGTGGCTCACTCGGGAGAGTGCGGTGCTGATAACACCAAGGCCACGGGTTCGGATCCCATATAGGGATGGCTGGTTTGCTCACTGGGTGAGCGTGGTGCTGACAACACCAAGTCAAGGGTTAAGATCCCCTTACCGGTCATCTTTAAAAAAAAAAAAGAAAGAAATGTAAAGTCCGAGCACCACGACCCTCCAGCCTGGTCTCCCCAGACACTGCCATGTTCCATTTGTACAAACCCGTCTCAGGTTCCCACCCAGAAGCATTCTCCACCTCACTGGCTCATGTTTACACTTCAAAACTTCCTCATCACCCAGCCCTCCTAGGCAGGGCTAGAGTCTCTCTTCCAGGCTGCATCATGGTGCTGCTTTATTTTTGGGCCCTATGTCCTTCAAAAGTAGAAGAAATTAAAAGTTTGGCTGGTTAGCTCAGTTGGTTAGAGTGTGGTGCTGATAACACCTAGGTCCAGGGTTTGGTGCCTGTACTGGCCAGCTGCCAAAAAAAAAAAAGAAAAGAAAAGAAAAAATAATGTAATGAGCCTCTGTTTACCCATTCCTGTGTGTATTAGTCCATTTCCGTTGCTTATAACATAAGTACCTGAAACTGGGTGATTTATAAAGAAACCAAAATTTACTGCTTACAGTTTCAGAGGCTGGGAAGTCCAAAGTCCAGGGAACACATCTTCTTTGGTGATGGCTTTACAGCAGTGCAGGGGTCTCACATGGCAGAAAAATATCAGAGCAGTGGTGGTGTCTTTACAGCAGTGCAGGGGTCTCACATGGCAGAAAAATATCAGAGCAGAGAGAGAGCTCCTTTTTAAAACCCTCAGAACCACGCCCCTGATCACCATTATTAATCCATTCACTACTGCACGGTTCTTCAATCCAATCACCTCTTCAAGGCCCCACCTTTCAATGACCATAACAGGATTTCCCACCTTCAACAGTTACAGTGGGAATTAAGCTTCTAATACATGAACTTTGGGGAACACAATTCAATCAATCCACAATGCCATGTTTCAGAAATTATCTATTTGCCCCACTGGTTTTATATAATCCTTTTATTTCACTTTTTCTTAATATTTTGAACCTAATACCTGACAAGTTAAATATTTCCTTACAAATCATGAAAATAAATAACATTTGTTTTATTTTATTATAGATTGTGGTGGGGGAGGGAGGTCAGCAAGTATCTTAAACTCAGAGGTGGTGGAAAGGGGCTTGTTATCAATAACAAAAGACAGTATCAGCAAATTCCATGGGTTGTAGAAGCTGCATGCCAGGAACTGGAGACAAAGACCAAATATATTTTTTGTCATACCACAGCTGGTATTCTTTTGTAAAGAACTATTTGTAACAATTACTTTTTTCTCCCCTCCTTACTTTCTCCACTAGTATTTTCATTGCTCACCAAGGAAAGGACATTCAAGGTTACTACCCTGGGCAGGTGGCAAGATTCCATGTTGACCACAGCATGAAGAGAGCTCCCAGGTGAGACACATTTCTACATCTTAATTTCCAAGAATGTCACCAAAGTGAGAATGATAAACAGACAAAAAAGGTACACAATTTTAATAATAACAATAGCAATAAGCATTATTTAATAAATAGAAAATGTTTAGAATAAAATACACCAAATGGTTAATGCGTTTTTTGATTTTTTTTAATGAGTGATGAGATTATTAGTATTTTGTACTTTTTTTTCCCCTTACTTTCCAGATTTACGAAATATTTGATTTGGGGCAATTTTCTCTCCTTTTCTGAGTACCAGTTGCCTTATCTGTTAAATAAAATAATGGATGTAAAATTCCAGAACGTGGTAAACACTCACGATATGATTGCTATTATTTTGAGTTCATCATCTGATATGTTTTACAAATTTCCCTTCTCTTAATTTTCTCTGAATTAGTCAATTCCTGATTAACTTCCACGCAAAGAGAAGAGAGCCGTGACATCTATGCTTTAAGGTAGCCTATAGCCTGAACTTAGATGATCAAACTGGAACTAGCTTTAGAGGTCATTCTGATCCCATGAAATGAATGAAATGCAGCTCAGAGAAGTGACATATCTCGACTGAGGTCACACAGTTAGTTGGTGTAAATGTTGGCCTCGAATGTGCACATTTTCTGATTCTCAGTTCAAGGCTGTTAGTTCTAACTCCAATGCATACTTACAGTAAACTCTTCTTAGGGTAGGTTCTCTGCCAGGGGTTAGATAGCTGCTCACGACTCACCTCCACAGGGGCACCCTTCACAGTGTGTTCTATGCGGATTGTGACAATGGCCCTCCCACCCTTACCACCCCTCCACCCCCGTACTCAAAAATCAGTCCTCCTACCAGACGATGGCTCAATTAAAAGGGAGCCTTGCCTCCCCTGGACACTGACAAGACTTGTCCCTGCCCAAGATTAACCTTTAGAGGGAAACTAAATGCACATGTCAATCTGTGAGTTTATTAAACTTCTAATTAAGGAGAAGAAAAAGACAAGCAACATACAAACAGAAAATGGGAAATGATGCAGCTCTTAGAACCAGTCCTAAGTTTAGTTATCGTAGTCACGGTATAACTTGACAGGTGTCTAATGGCTCACCTCCCTCGGATATATTCCTCCACCAGCTTGTTGTTTTCAGTATCAGAGTCCTACCTTTGAGTGAAAGTCTTGTCTCCAGAAGTATTATTGTAAAAGGGAGAATTTTCTGGTTCTAGAGAAACACCCCAAGCAAAGGCAGAGGCAGGCGGGTGGTCCCACAGGGGTTTATCTAGGGGCAGTCACCAGGATGTGGTTCAGAAGTCAGAGCCATCAGCAGCACAGAAGTGGCCAGACTGACACTGATGGTCACTCGCAGGAGACTGACACATGCACGAAGCAGTTAATGTTTTGATCGACAGGGGAAGACATACTTTTCTAGGAAAAGGAGTGTTCCCAGCCACCATTTAAGGCACTCACTTTACAAGGCCAAGTACCTGTTGAGCATGCAATAAAAACAAACAGAGGTGGGTATTCTTGACACGTCTCCAGGCCCGTCCACAGCACAGCACACTGCCACCCATCTAGCATCTCTCCCCGTTCAGTGTCCCACAAGCATGACCAGATTCTTGCTCTTGCTTTTTCTGAGCTTCGGGCGCAGCCACTTCATTTGTGCTAACATACAATTTCCTAAAGAAGGCACATCGCTCAGGCTCACTTGGGAGAGTGCGGTGCTGATAACACCAAGGCCACGGGTTCGGATCCCATATAGGGATGGCCGGTTTGCTCACTGGGTGAGCGTGGTGCTGACAACACCAAGTCAAGGGTTAAGATCCCCTTACAGGTCATCTTTTAAAAAAAAAAAGAAGGCACATTGTAGTCAATTAGGCAATTAGGCAAACTTAATTTATAATTATTAAGCAGCTGTAGTCACCCCTTTAAGTGTGATTAGGTTGCAGTGATATAATCATGTACGACTATATCCCACTCACTCCGATTGGATTTACATGTTCCTAAATCTCAGCCAACATTTCATATTTTTCATATCAATAGTAGCTCACCTCATTTAGTTTATAGTTTTAAAAATATATGGGTTTATTAGAACATGTAGAAAACATTGATAATCAAAAAAAATAAATTGAAAATTACCAGTAATGTCATTATCCGGAGATAGTCATGCAGAATCTTCCAGATCTACTCCAATATAGGATGGGATGGCATTTTGAAAGCTGGGTTTTTTGGTAAAGGCTTGAGATAATTTACATACCATACCATTCATTCATTTAAAAATGTATAATTAAATTGAATCCTTTATTGAAACTTAATATATGGTTGATTTTTTCCCATCTCAAAAGTTATCATTCTGCAGCATCACTTTTTTTTTTTTTAAAGATGACCAGTAAGAGGATCTTAACCCTTGACTTGGTGTTGTCAGCACCACGCTCAGCCAGTGAGCGAACCGGCCATCCCTATACAGGATCCAAACCCATGGCCTTGGTGTTACCAGCACCGCACTCTCCCGAGTGAGCCACGGGCCGGCCCTTACAGCATCACTTTTAATGGTGGTGTAGAATTCCTATATATGCCTGTATCATTGTCTATATAGTATGCTTTTTTTTCACATGAAGGTTGTTTCCTTTCTTTTCATTATCATAAAAAGACTTTGATAAACATACTTAGAGCTAAGTCTTTGTTGACATCCCTAATTACTGGAATTACTAGGACAATAAATATATACACATGTTTAAGGTCTTATAATATCATCAGAGTTATGCTTTTTTTTCACATGAAGGTTGTTTCCTTTCTTTTCATTATCATAAAAAGACTTTGATAAGCATACTTAGAGCTAAGTCTTTGTTGACCTCCCTAATTACTGGAATTACTAGGACAATAAATATATACACATGTTTAAGGTCTTATAATATCATCAGAGTTATACCACTGAATATACACACCCACATGTGTGTGAAGACAGTTTGGCATTACATTTTGATTCTTTAATCTTCAGAAAGTACCTATCTGAGTAGGGGTCCAGGAAGGTTGTAACTGATTTCAGGTCCATCAAACACCAAAGTACACCATAGTGGTTATTTCCGGCCAAAAGAATGCATTGACTCCTTCAAGGAACCAAACAACCATAGAAAAATTAGAATGAAAAAGTGCACCAGGGAGATCTGGGGTACGGGAAGTAGCTGTGCATGGGCAGATCCAGTGGAGGTTTTGATGCAGGTCACCTACAGTGACCTGTGACTAAGGAGGAGGAGGGATGCTAAAGGGAAAAACAAAAGACTGAAATCCTTGAGGCATCTTTTGCAACTTTGCTAGGGCCAGCCTTGGAGCTATGGGAGTCTTGCCAACTCTACTTTGTTAGCCTCATGGTTGCTTCCAGGGAATGGATTTCAGCTGATGAGAAAGTAGACCACTTTTCTTCTACTGGGTGTTCAGAAAACTATTTCTATTTCCATTTAGACCACTCATAGATTTGGCAATTCCACCCAAGAGAGAAAGTCAATATCAGCCTCAATTTGACCAACAAACACTCATTGGATATATTTGTTTTAGAAGACATTCAAAGCCTGCCGAACCGTGGTATAAAGAAACCACTTATCAAAGAGACTATTCTCTGCCATTTTACAAGATTGGTAAGTCAGGTCAACTGCTCTTAACTCTCTGAGGTTAACCTTGCCTGGGCCACAGATCAGCATGTCCCGTGGGTTTGCTGTCTCAGGGAGTGTGTTTGGGAGCAGTTGTGAGCAGAGAAGAGTGAGTGTGTGTGTGTGTGTGTGTGTGTGTGTGTGCATGTGGGTGTGGGTGTCTGGGTGTTGGGGTGCAGGAGGAATGTAGAAAGATGCCCCAAAGTTCCTCCCTACTCTTTCCCCAGCTCCCTACATATGAGACTTCAGGGATGAAAGCACACAAGTGTCCTTGTTAGGAAGCAGGCTGGAGTCCAGCCACTCTTCACTGGGACATTTGCCCCACAACGAAATCATTATTGTGCCTAGACATACTGTTGAGGAATTTTTTTTTCTTATTTCCTATTTTAAATGACTTTATGACAATGGTCTGACATTCCGAGGCATGTTGCAACAATTCTAAATTCTCTGTGCTGCATCAGGTGGGCGAGTGTAGAAGGGGACCGGGGCTCCCGTGGGGTGGACACGTGGACACCCATCAAAATGTAACTTGGGTTCCTGGAGTCACTGGTGCTTTGAATGTTAGTTCATTGAATAAATTACTTTATTGTAGTGGATTGAATTATATCCCCCCAAAACTCACTGAAGCTTGAATTGTCTCCCAAGTTCTATGTATTAGAAATTTAGCCCCCACTGTGACTGTTAGGGGGGTGGGAAATCCTATTATGGTCATTGAAAGGTGGAGCCTTGAAGAGGTGATTGGATTGTAGGACCGTGCAGTAGTGAATGGGTTAATAATGGTGGTCAGGGGCATGGTTCCGAGGGCTTTGAAAGAGGAGGAGAGTGTGTCTTGCCTTCTCTGCTCTCTCTGCTTACCCCACCTTGCAATGTGAGACCCCTGGGTCACTGTCACCACCATCAGATGGACTTTGGACTTCCCAGCCTCAGAAACTGTAAGCAATAAAGTTCATTTTCTTTATAAATCACCAAGTTTCAGGTACCTTGTTATAAGCAACGGAAACAGACTAATACACTGACCGACTTATATGAGTAAACTCCAACATTTTGGGGGCTTTTACCCTGTGGTATGTGCAGATTTAGTTTTCATAGCAGCTTGTGGAGGTAAGTGCTATTACATTCTCCATTTTATAGTAGAGGAAGCTGATTTGCAGAAACTGTTTGTTAACTAGCCCCAGATCACACAGCTAGCAGGTCAGAGAAGCAGAATTCAGACCCAAGCCATTTCACTCCCCAGCTATGCATGACTATTTCACAGTTTTCTTTAAAGAAAGTCACTTTCTTTTAACTTAAAACTAGCCCCAGATCACACAGCTAGCAGGTCAGAGAAGCAGAATTCAGACCCAAGCCATTTCGCTCCCCAGCTATGCATGACTATTTCACAGTTTTCTTTAAAGAAAGTCACTTTCTTTTAACTTAAAAAAAAAAAAAAAGAAAGAAAAGAAAATGAGTAGATAAAGATGGTGGGGCTGGGAATGGGCAGGATCAACCCTTCCTTCTTTTTTCCCCAGGGAAAAGGGCTGCAGCCCAGATGCAATGCCAGAGCAGAGCAGAATGAGATGGCCTGGGCTGGGACCCAGGCCCCCGGGGAGCCATAAACAGCAGCAATCAGGAAGAGTGGGAACTGGGTGGGGACAGGCAGATCTTGGGAGAGCTGAGCCACAGATAGGGGTGGCAATAGATGAAGCAGGAATCAGGCCAGAGACTGACAGGAGGGATGTGGGATAAGAGGTTACAAGCAGGGCAAAGCTGGGTTCTGGAAGCCCAGGGAAGGTTGCAGATGGAGAAGGGAGGGGACTGAGGGACTGGGGAGGAGGCTGGGGGCTGAGATGAAGATCATTAGAGAAGGAGGTGCTGGGAGGTGGTGGTGGGGGTCCCAGAGCGGGCTTCAGGAGGGTATAATAGAGGAAGCTGGGGCTTAGGGGGTGTGTTAGTCTGTTTCTGTTGCTTATAACAAAATACACAGAACTGGGTAATTTGTAAGAAAATAAAAATTATTGCTTACAGTTTCTGAGGCTGGGAAGTCCAAAGTCCAAGGAACACACCTGGTGTTGGTGACAGTGACCCAGGGATCTCACATTGCAAGATGGTAGAAGCAGAGAGAGACTAACCTCTCATATGCTCTTCTTTTAAAGCCCCCAGAACCATGCCCCTGACCACCATTATTAATCACATTTGCTAACCATGGTCTTACAATCTAGTCACCTCTTCAAAGTCCCACCTTTCAATTACCATAATAGGATTTCCCACCCTCAGCAGTTATAGTGGAGATTTAAGCTTCAATGAGGTTGGGAGGAGGGGCATCCAACCTACAGCAGGGGCATAGATTAGAGCTAAAGGATGCGCATGGCCTGGGCAGTAGAAGCTGCTGGGGCTGAGGCTGTGGTCAGGAAGTGCCAGTGGGATCCCATCCCCACAAAACTGGCTGATCAGCTTGTCCTTTCAAGACCACCTGGAAGTGTAAATCAGTTTCATCTGCTTGAGGATATCCAGACGGGCCTCTAGGTACCAAAGTGACAGTCAATAGGATGCTCATTACAATTCCTCTGCTGTGAGGGAATCTCGTTAGAGAGACAGACACAAAAGATCTTCTCCTGTGCTTGTTTTAGAAGACAGTTCCTAATTCTTTCCAACCTGCATTGTGCTAGGCACATAGAAAGTCCAGGCTATGATCTTGGCAAGAGGAGCTCACCGTCCAATCGGGGAGATGAGGCATGAGGCATTAGGCTCTCAGAGAACGACTAAGTACCAAATAGAGGAGCAGGAGTTGAAAGACGAGATCACTGGGGGTAGGACAGCCAGGAAATCAGCATGCATGACTGAGGATCCGAGCTGGCCTTCCGGGTCAGATCTGCACAGTGGAGGGGAAACAGGACAGCACAGACGGAGACAATGCAACTAGAGACAGTGGATGATGGGATGGTGAGGCATGTGGGACAATGGGGAGGATTCCAGTGATGGGGACACTGGCCTGATTGGGGCAAGATAGAAGGGGCAAGTGGAAAGTAAAATGCAGATTGGCAGAGTCAGAGGAGAGAGTGCCTGGATCAGAAGAGCAGCTGAGGGAGTTTGGAAAGTCAACTTTGGACAATCAGAGCCACTGTAGGATCACGGTCAAAGGAGTGACCCAGTCTGCTAGTTAGAGGCTGTTAGTCGGTCAGCTGTGCTCAGGATGGGTTGGAGAAGGCATGGACTGCAGGCAAGAGGGGCAGCAAAGAAGCTGTGGCAGTGACACAGGACGGATCAAAGTCTACCTTTTAGAATAGTTGTTAGGATATAAAACATCTGTGCCTGGAACTGTGCTAAGTGACATACGTACATGTGCATACTCGTCATTGCAATTAGTCATCAGAGTCCACATGAAGTAGGTGTTATCATTACCGTTAGTGCCATTTAGCAGAAGAGGAAACTGAGGCTTAGAAATTTTAGAAACCTACTCAAGCAAGTAGCTGGTAAGCCATCAGTCCAGGCCAAAGTCCTTGCTCTTAAATTGAATGAGGAAGGTCTCAGGAGAAATAGAAAGAAGACTCACATGGCATAGCATTTGGAGTGAAGAAGAATGGTGCTAATAAAAAATGCACACAAGAGAAATTTAAGATAACCCCACAGCCTCTCACTTCTTCAAGACTGTTGCTGCCTCTGACAGAAATAATGGTTTTAGGCAGAAGAGATGTGATCAAGTTGGGATCCATAGACAATCAAAAATACGGTGCTGGCAAGTGCAGGATAGCTGACATGAGATGAGAAGCAGCTTTGGATAGTCCCTACTTAGTGAGGTCTGAAGCCTGACCTATTCTGGAGATCATTTATATTGAAATATGCATTGCTCCATTCATTGAATCATTGACTGAATGCACATTAGTTATCTATTACTGAGTAACAAATCATTCCCAAACTAGTGGCTTAAAACATTAATGATGATGTTTTTTATCTCTTACGGTTTCTGCAGGTTGGGAATTTGAGAACTGCTCAGCTAGGCAATTCTGGCTCAGGGGCTCTCTTGAGGTTTTGGTCAGTTGTGAGCAAGGGCTGCAGTCTCATCTGAAGGCTTGAGTGGGGCTGGAAGGTCCACTTTTAAGGTGGTCCTCTCACATGGTTGTCACGCTGGTGCTGCCTGTTGGCTGGGGGCCTTGGTACCTTTCTCCATGGCCTCTCCATGGCACTGCTTGAGTGTCCTGGTGGCATGGTGATTAGCTCCCCTTAGAATGAGCAATCCAAGACCCCGGGGAAACCAAAATGCCTTTTATAGTGTAGGCTCAAAAGTCACACACTGCCACTTCTGATGTATCCTATTAGTCATACACAGCCAGCCCTAACCCAGTGTGGAGGGGATTACACAAGGCACAGATGCCAGGGGGCAAGGATTCTTGGGGTCCATCTTGGAAGGCAGCAACCACAGTACGATGCAGTGTTTATTGAGTGCCACTATGACTGCTATCTGCTGGGGATACGGTGACAAGATATCTCCTTTTACAGAGCTGACATTTTGGTGGGGGATACAGAGCATAACAAAGTACATTTATAAAAAGTATATAGATCATGGTAGTGCTGTAAGGGAAATAAACAAGGAGATAAGTATAGCTAAAGGAAGTTACTTTAAATAGAGCAGTCAGGGACCGTGTCTATACAATTTTAGCTGAGCCCTGAAAAATAAGAATGAATCATAGAAAGAGCATTTCAAGCAAAAGGATTAGTCAGGACATTGAAGGATTTTGAACAGAAGAGTGACCTATATTTTAAAAAGACCACTCAAGCTGGTATTAAGACACTGTTCAGAGCGGGACAAGAGGCAGGGCATGCAGACCATCGAAAAGCTATTTAATAATTTTGACTAGAAATGATGGTGGCTTGGACCTGCAAGGAAGATGAAGAGGAATACACAGATTGCAGAAATATTTTGGAGGTGACATCGGTGGGGCTTGGTAATACATTTGACGTCAGGTGCATTTTCACTCATGCATATGTATTCCTTCAGTGAATAATTTGAGAGCCTATTTAAATACCAGCACAGTCAATGTTCTTCACTTTTGGCAATACCATGTGAAGCAAAAATACACACAAGGTTTCTACATTCAAGAACCTTCACAGAAATAATCATAAAATTCCACCTACCATAAATGCTATGAAGCAGAATTTATGTGGTACTATAGGAGCATGTAGTAGGTCAGAGAAGGTTCTCTGAAGAAATGATGAGCTGAGAGCTGAAAGGATGAGCTTAAAATTAACTAGGCAAGGAATGGGGGAAAAGCTTCACAGAGAGCATAGCATGTGCAAAGGCCCTGTGGTAGAAGAAGCAGAACATGAGGGCCGGCCCGTGGCTCACTTGGTAGAGTGTGGTGCTGATAACACCAAGGCCACGGGTTCGGATCCTATATAGGGATGGCCGGTTTGCTCACTGGCTGAGTGTGGTGCTGACAACACCAAGCCAAGGGTTGAGATCCCCTTACCGGTCATCCTTTTAAAAAAAAAAAAATAAAAAAATAAATAAGAAGAAGCAGAACATGTTTGAGTAACTAAACAAAATAAGGGTGCTAGAGCACAGAAATCAAGAAAGATCATGGAGCAGGGTGTGGCTGGAGAAACAGCAAGACCAGAATAAAAGGGACTTTACAGGCCATATTTGGGTTTTTGCCCTCTAGCATGAGAATAATGGGAAACTGCTGACGATTTTTTTTTTTTTTTTAAAGATGACCGGTAAGGGGATCTCAACCCTTGGCTTGGTGTTGTCAGCACCACACTCAGCCAGTGAGCAAACCGGCCATCCCTATATGGGATCCGAACCCGTGGCCTTGGTGTTATCAGCACCGCACTCTACCGAGTGAGCCATAGGCCGGCCTAACTGCTGACAATTTTTAAAGAGAGTGGAGATGATGATTAAAATTTAATTTTGAAAAGATTACTCAAACTGTGGAGAAGGAAATGGGGTGGGGAGGCAGGATGTGAAAATTCTCCAGAGATGGCACATCTATCATACTCCTGGGTTAATAAAGTGTTATCCATTCTTAACATCAAGAAATGTTTATTTCTTGAAATGCTAAGGAAAGTAGAATAGAACAGTGAAAAGATTATGGACTTTGGAACCTGATAATCCTGGGTCAAATGTGGGTTCCACCTCTTACAAACTGTGTAAATTTGGACAAATTAATAATGTATTTGTGAGGGTTACTGTCAATGATAGAGTTAACATAAGTAAAACACCTAATAACATCATAAAGTTTTCCTATAATGCTATCACTGAAATAGTCTGGTCTTTGTTTCACTGAGCAATGATTATTGTATTCAGTTCAAGCCCCCTTGAAACTTTATCTTTAGATGGCACAACTGTCAGTGATTCTAGCCAAGTAGTCATAAGATATGAAGGAACTTCAGTGCATACAAATTTAGTGACGGCAACAACTGCAGTTTCAGACAAAGATAATACAAAGTGACCCTTTGGTAATGCAAGACTAACAGAGTTAGGGGGTTTGGAATTAGGATGTTAAAACGTAAATTTATGGGCCGGCCCGGTGGCGCACTGCTACAGTGCGCCGCTTGGGAAGTGAAGCGGCGCTCCCACCGAGGGTTCGGATCCCACATATAGACCGGCCGCTCACTGGCTGAGCGAGGTGCGGGGGCAACACCGAGGGTTGCGATCCCGTGGCCGGTCCCGGTCCGGTACAGGCGCGACACTGAGGGTTGCGATCCATTGCCGGTCACAAAAAAAGAGACAAAAAGGAAAAAAAAATGTAAATTTATGTAATTTATTTCATTTTATTTACATGTTGGCATAATTTAACAGTATGTCTCCTAATCAGAGACTGAACCAAAGAAACAACCTTCTGATTGAATTCTTTTTCCCATATTTTAAATACATTCCTTTGTCTTCAGTCTCATAAATTATGTTGTTATTGGGCACAATTGCTAAAAGGACACTGTGTGTTAAAATTTAGGAGTGAGTAGTCATAAAATAAATCATTCATTTGTTTTAAATTCCAGATTGGGACCAGAAATTAGGCACGGTTTCATCGAATCCTAGGCCACTTAATTCTCTGCCAGAGCTCTACTGTTGTGAAGAGAGGAGTAGCTTGAGAAGAAATGCTTTTAATCTAAAATAACCATGGCATTCGAACAAAATAAAATTTCGTGTTCTTAGGTGACTCTTTTAGACTAAGTTAATAGTAGCAGAAACCCAGGTTTACAGCATAGGGCTGTAGTGAGATGTGGGATTGGTAAAAGGAAAATTAACTGAAAGTCTGTATATAGAAGAGTTAACAGTCCTATCTCAGCAAGAAGAAAGCCTGACAACTAGGCAAAAAGCTAAGAAATGATCCCAAAGAAAAGAATCCTATTTCCTGACTTCTAGGGACACCCAGCATACTAGTTGTTTTCCTACTTAATCACCCCAAACTTCCCCCAAGAACCCAGAGTTTCATATAGCTTTCCATCACCTAGTCTTAGATGTAAAAGTTCCAACCAAGGATCACCGCATATTTGAAAAAATAAGGCAACATGAAAGACAAAGACCGAAATAAAAAGAAGAAATTGCCCCAGAGGAAACAGAATTTAAGGAACACAAAAGAACATAAAAAAGGCTAACTCAACAATTTATATTAGTTAAGGTTCTCCAGAGAGGGCTGGCCCAGTGGCGCACTGGAGAGTGCGCCACTTGGGAGTGTGGCGGTGCTCCCGCCGAGGGTTCGGATCCCATGTGGAGACCGGTTCCCGCTTGCTGGCTGAGCGCGGTGCGGGCGCGACACTGAGGGTTGCGATCCCGTTACCGGTCAGTAAAAAAGACAAAAAAGAAAAAAAAAAGGTTCTCCAGAGAAAGGGAAGCAATCGGAGAGAGAGCTATATATAAAGGGATTTATTACAAAGGATTGCCACACGCGATTATGGAGGCTGAGAGGTCCCACAATCTGCCATCTCAACCTGGCGGCCCAAGAAAACTGGTGATATGGTTCCAGTCCAAGCCTGAAGGCCTAAGAACTGGGGGGCCAATGGTATAAGTCCCAGTCCATGCTCAAAGGCCCAAGAACTGGGAACGCTGATGTCAAAGGACAGGAGATGATGAATGTCCCAGCTCAAGCAGAGAGCGAATTTGCCCTTCCTCCACCTTTTTCTTCTATTCTGTCCATCAGCAGATTGGGTGATGTCCTTCCACACCAGTGAGGTCAATCTTTTTTACTCTTCTTTACCACCAGTCTACTGATTCAAATACTAATCTCTTCCAGAAACACCCTCACAGAAATAATGTTTACCAGCTGTCTGGGCATTCCTTATCCCAGTCAAGTTGACACATAAAATGAACCACAACAAATGTACTCCTTGTCAACTTGGAACCCATATGCATCATCTTAAATCATACCTAATCCTCAAATAAAGATAACAGCAAGATCATAATTCTGCCTAACATGATAAAACTATTCTGTGTACAACCAAAAATGCACCAATCTCAGTGCATTCACCTCCCAGAAAAGGTGAAGTTCTTGAATGGTGATGTTTACTCTTCTCTGGATATCCCATAACTTAAACGATATGATGTGAAATTAATGGTATTCAAATACTATACCTTAGAAAGTACATCTTATATTACATGACAAGACAATAAGAGAGGAAAGAAAACAAAAGATTTTTGCTTACTGCATGTATATATACACACAAACATATTCATAAAAAAATAAGGAGGACATACTCATGACAATTACAGTCCTCATTTCTGTACTGGTTTTGTGGTTGTAGATGGCATTTATAACCACCTTTTCCTACTACTCATTCTGTATTTCCTTTGCCTTCAGCAAGCAGCTCAACTGGTCATGGCTCTTTACCTGGCAAGGTGGCCCAAACCTTTATTCCTAAAGGTTGTGAGTCATTAATAGTCCTGCCTGGATTGGATTGTTGTAGTTTTCCATTGGTCTTAATCACAGGGCATAGTGGTACTAAGAGACACCTAAGGGATCTCCCATATTCGAGACATATACTTCCTCAGCTCCATTATAGAGTAGTAATTCAATTTCCCCTGGGGAGTCCAGACCAACTACCCGCAACCAACACAGTAACTCCCACCTTGTTGACTCAGAGATATGAGGAGCCGAAAGGGGCCAGGTGGCAGTCTTAACTTCCAGTTCAGTGAAATCATTGTGTGCCTCCTGGTGAAAGCATTCCTCTCTCTGGAACTAAGACTTCTAGACCAACAGAGCATAAAGTCCTGGGAACTGGAAGCAAAAATTTGGCTAATTGGTCACGAGAGATAATAGTGAATCATGCCACTCCGCAGTACCAGTTCTTGGTTCCTGGATCTGTGAATTATGGCTGTTGGAAAAACAGCACCATATATTGGACGTGCATTCAGAGCATATGCAGCTTTCTGAAGAACCTTGCCCCAGCTCTGCAAGGTGCTACCGTCTAGTTGACACTGTCACCGATTCTTCAAAAGGCCATTCCACGGTTATATCAAGCCAATTGGTTCTGGATGTTGGAAAACATGGTAAAACCAGTGAATTCCAGAAGCATGGTCCCACTGATGCACCTCTTTTGCTCTGAAGTCAAGTTCCTTAATCAAAAGCAATGCTGTGTGAAATACCATGATGGCGGACAAGGCATTTTGTAAGTTCACTGATGGTAGCTTTAGCAGAAGCATTGTGTGCAGGAAAGACAAATCCATATCCAGAGTGAGTGCATATTCCAGTAAGGACAAAACACCACCCTTTCCATGATGGAAGCAGTCCTGCCACCAGATAGCTGGCTGATCAATCCCGGCAATGGTACCATACGGAAGCCTCAGTGTTGGTGTCTGGTGGTGGCAGATTGGATGCTCAGCAGTGGCCACAGCTAGCTCAGCGTTGGTAAGTGGAAGTCCATGTTGCTGAGCCCATGCATAACCTCCATCCCCACCACCATGGCTCCTCTGTTCATGGGCCCCCTGAGTGATGACAGTGGTGTCTAAGGAAGGAAGCTGACTGGTATCTACAGAATAGATTATCCTATCTATTTGATTATTAAAATCCACCTCTGCAGAGGTTCCTTTGGTGGGCATTCAGATGGGATGCAAATATCCTCATGTTTTTTGCCCATTTAGAGAGATCTACTCACATACATCTTCCCCAAATTTCTTTGTCACCAATTTTCCAATCATGTTATTCCAGCTCCCTGACCATCCAGCCAAACCATTGGCTACAGCCCATGAATCAGTATATAATCACACATCTGGCCATTTCTGCTTCCTAGCAAAGCGCACAACCAGGTGCACCACCTGAAATTACACCCACAGGGAGGATTCCCCCTCACCACTGTCCTTCAGGGATGTCCCAGAGAGGGACTGCAGCGCTGCAGCTGTCCACTTGCAGGTGGGGCCTGCACATCATGCAGAACTATCTGTAAACCAGGCCCAAGTCTTCTTGTAGAGAAATCCCCATGAGGCCACAGGTGAAGGCGGGGAGAGAAAAGGCAGTGTAGCAGGAGTGGGAACCATGGACATTTGGGCCACTTTTTCATATAACTCGTGCCTTCAGGGCCTGTTAGGGCCTGATTATGTATGTACCACTTCCATATGATAATGGAACATTGTGTTGCTGTACATGCCCAACTTTATGGCTTGGTGGGCCAGGTAACATCCAGTTTATGGTGGGCAGCTCAGTTGCATAATAACTTGGTGGCCCATGGTCAAGCATTTAATCTCTGCTAAGGTGCAGTAGCAAGCCAAGTGCTGTCTCTCAAAAGGAGAGTAGTTATCTGGCGATGATGTCAGGGCCTTGCTCTAAAATTCTGAAGGCCTGTGGTGCAATCCACCTATGTGGGTGTGCCAAAGGCTCTAAACAGCATCCTTATCTGCCACCAACAGATCTGTTGGATCACATGGTCCAAGTGGTAGGGGGGCTCACACAGCAGCTGGACCTATTGCAGAGCCTTCTCTTGTCCCGGGCCCCACTCAAAACTAGCAGCTTTGGGGGTCACTCAGTAAATGGCCCGGAGTAACACACCCAAATGAGGAATATGTTGCCTCCAAAATCCAAAGACACTTATTAGGCATTGTGCCTTTTTCTTGTTTGTAGGAAAAGAACGACTTAGCTTCAACTTAAGCTCCACCTTAAAAGGGATATCTTGACATATCCCACACCAATGAACCCCTAGAAATTTTACTGAGGTAGAAGGCCCCTGAATTTTAATTGGATTTATTTCCCTTTCTGACATGCAAATGTTTTACCAGTAAGTCTAGAGTGGTTGCTACTTCTTCCTCACTAGATCCAATCAGCATAATGTCATTAATGTAATGGACCAGTAAGATATTTTATGGAAGAGAAAGACGTGAACTAAATAGAGCCGGAGAGTTGATATAACCCGAGGTAGAACAGTGAAGGTATATTTCTGGCCTTCCCACTGAAAGCAAACTGCTTCTGATGGGCCTTATGGACAGGGATGGACAAAAAAATGCATTTGCCTGATCAATAGCTGTATGTCATATATGGGAGATATGTTAATTTGCTTAAGCAATTAAACTCCATCTGATAAAGTAACTGCAGCTGGAGTCACTACCTGGTTAAGCTTATGACAACTCACTGACATCCTCAAAGATCAATCTGTCTTTGGACAAGCCAAATAGGAGAGTTGAATGAGGATGTGGTGGGAATCACCGTCCTGCATCTTTCAAGTCCTCGGTCGTGGCACTAATCTTTGCACTCCCTCCAGGAATGCAGTATAGCTTTTGGTTTACTATTTTCCTAGGTAGAAGCCATTCTAATGGCTTCCAACATGGCCTTTCCCACTATAATAGTCCTCAGACCACAAGTCAGGGAACCCATATGGAGATTCACCAGCTGCTGAGTATTATTCTAATTATGCTTTCTGGAACTGGGGAAATAACCACAGCAAGGGTAAGTAGACCCACTGTGAGATGGACTTGAGCTACAATACCATTGATTTCCTGAACTTCATAAGCCTCTACTGTAACTGGACCACAGTGACATTTCAGGTCTCCTGGAATCAGTTTCAGTTAAGAGTCAGGGTCCAGTACTGTCCCCAAACTGTGATGATTTCCTTTTCCCCAATACAGTTACCTTGATAAAAGCTCATAGGTCCCTTTCGTGAAGGTTGAGAGAAAGATTAACTATACATTTTTTGGTAGTGTACAGGGGTCCTTT